TAAGTAACATGAGTGTAGGCCGACGTGTCAGGTGAAAAATAAAGTTTAAGATCTAAGTGAGAAATCATGATGATTCAATGTGAGTATGAGAAAATACAAACAATAGAATGGTTAAAATGATTGTAAATTTAATTAAATCTGCCTTAATGATGTTTACAAGTACTTGAAAATAGATCAGTGATAACATTACATTCAGTTGGAACAGGATACATTATCCAATTTGATAGATTGAAAATCGTTCGGAAAAGTTCTAGTTTTTAAACAGAAAGATCAACACATGAAACACCGTATACATAGACGAACTGAAACGATTCGAATAGACTGGATCGAATACAATTAGCTGAACTGTGGTCGTTAATAGCTAATTTATTAACACAAATTTGTTCTACTATTACTTTCTCATCTCATACTTTCTAGACAAGATCGATGTACTTTCATTCCTTTTGATCATTTATTATATTCTGAAATGTCATGAATAAGCAGGCTGTTTAGTGTAATCAGTACGACCATGCAGTTATTCACATTCTATGCATGCTATTTTCAGTGTAATTTAAATGATCATATAGATAGAGTTAGGCATATATATATACATCATTTCTAATCCATTAACGTTTTATTTCTAAGGTCATGTCAGTCATTATATATATATTGAATGAAGACAAAACTAAGGTAGAACAACTATATATATATATATATATATATATATATATATATATATATATATATATATAGTTGTTCTACCTTAGTTTTGTCTTCATTTAATATCAAGCTTTTTATGAACTTGTGTTATCTCCTTGGGTCACATTATTTAGACATAATTGTTGTGTATGTCAGTAGTCACAGTATCAAGTTCCCATTAGTTCCCAATCAGACTTGAAAAATCTCAGTCGTCTGTAAACATAAGAAACCATGACCTCAACGGAAACGCAAACTTAATTACTCATCAAAATTTAACAAATTTGTGTAATTGAGATCATGAACCAATCGATGCACAGCTAAGAAGTCTCATACTAGGACGAAACGTTCATCCAGTGCTTCCAGGTTTTCCTTGACGGTCTAACATCGATCTCAATCAAAGGGAGATGATTGCATTTTATATAGAATTATCATCAATATTATTACAAATAATTTGTCACATAGTACGAAAAATGACTACTATTTTTAGTTAATACATAAGATACAATAATATTTATATTTTAAAAGTTAATTCATCACGTTCGAACATTATTCCAAATGTCCAATCTTTTATTGTTTAAAAATAACTCCTATGTACCTAGTTATTATTCATTTTAATTATTCAATTTATAGACTTAATCATGAAAATTAATAGAGTGATTAATTTAATGAATTAATGAACGCCAAAACAGATGTTTCCTTTCACAATTGATTGATCAATGCCATCCTTGTCTAGTCCTTATTAGTGCAGATCGAATGCTATCGATCATGTTGCAATGTGGCCACCAGTCCGCCAGGGAGCACCAGTTCCCTCAAGATTACAGGTACACCTTGCTGACGAGTGCCAAGTAGCACGAAACCCGGGTCCAGGGTTTCCTGTTGACTACCTCCAACCACCATCTAAATCTCAAGATGTTTCCTTTGTTCATCCACAACTCCTTGCTAATCCATATTTATGATTGTATAAATGATTGGACATAGGATACAATTTAAAAAAAAATTATTCTTAATGGTTCATAAATTGGTTTTTTATTTCGTCAAAGGAAACCAAACCAAAACCGAATAAAACACATGATGATAATTGGTTCTACAGTTTTAATAAAATAGTAATTTGTTCGTAACTGATTAGAGTCACGAAAGATTTCTCAATGTTCATGTGAATAACTATGAATTGTAATATTAGTCAAATGAAAAAAGAGGTAATAATACACTGATGAAATTGGATACGGATTATGCCATATCTTAAATTGTTGAAAGTTGAAAGTCAGAACCATCAGCTTGAGAATCTATGATTAGAGATTGTAATTCTGAAGAGGTTTAAAAATACTGAATTCAATCCCATCGTTTGTTTACATTTAGTTTAGGAGAAATGAATAGATATAAAATAATTATTCAGTTCCTTATAATTTTCGACGTCGTTCATAGTGAAGTGTTATCTTCAAACATACTACTAATTACAAGTTGAACTACATAATATTTTCTTTCTTATTCATTTTTAGTTAAAGTTATATATTTGTAAAACTATATGACGTCATAAATGAAGTTGCTTTATGAAACTTGGTTCGTAATGAAATATAAAATGGATAACTCTGTGAATTAGTTTAATCGAATTGATTTATTACATTCACTTGTAACTAAAATTATTACTCTATATTTTAAACGTAGAAAAACTTAAGGGAACTTAATTTAACTTTAATAAAGAATGACACTACTCACAATTAATTAATTACTAGTAATAGTAGCTATATTTCTTTCATGGAAAGATGAATACCAAGTTAATTTATATTTCTATTATATTCCTCTGAGCAACCGACCGAGATATTCGAACTGATATCATTTATTTGTTTGTTTGTTTTGTAGTGATAAAGCCATATAGTGTCAGCAAGCATGAATTAATGTTTGTTTTCTGTGTGGCTATTTGAATGTGTGTTGTTCTATTAATATATATATATATATATAATAAACGTTTCGAAAAGATCGTCAATAACTTTAAAAAGGTATTTAGTTATTCGTTGATTTTTTGTTTTCTCAATTACGAGGAACATTACTCAATCAATTATTTAACTAATTCTTTAGTTGTTATTAGCAAAGTGTTTAGCAGTGGAATCCAGGACGAGCGTTTCGTTCTATTTGAGACTCGTCAGCTGGATGTACCTACATCTCAGAGTTGATTTTCACTCTGGGACTCAAATCCAGTACTGGGTTTAGCCAGTATATTTCAATGGTTGAGTTTTATTCTTATAAAGACAGTACAAAACATAAATAATAAGTATTGTTTATAAGAAAAGTTATATTTAGTTATTTGTTAATGAATCTTAAAAGTTGCTGATGCCTTAGTTCATTTTTAATGAATGATAAGGAATTTATAAATAATGTTCAATTTCAAATTAGTTAATAGTAGAAATTGGCGTATATTAAGAAACCAACAAAATGAAACCAGGAGATATTAGATGACCATCCGGTCAGATATATGTGAACTTACATGAGGACGAAGACAGAACTGTTATATCAGAATTATTAAGATATTAGTCAGCTTTGGAAATAGTCGACATTTTTAATTTGTAATCATTCACAGTCTAAATCCTTTAATTTTAATGATACTCAACTTAAATTCTTTGGTTCGATTCCTTTATGAAGTTATAAATGATCATCCTTGAGGTGTTAATTTACTGCTTTGGTCTGAGCACCTGGGCAGTATCACATCCCACACACAAATCAAGTGACTTGTGTGACCCATATGTATTCGGTACCCCTTTGTACAAATATTTATGTTTCACAGGTTGAAATCATGAGTCAATTGAAGCTAGACCACCATTGAAAACCTGGAAGCACTGGACGGCCGTTTCGTCCTAGTATGGGATTCCTCAGCAGTGCGCATCCACGAACCCGCCCCCGACTCATGATTTCAACCTGTGAAATTTACTAAAATCTCCACAAAACTCATTCTGAAAATATTTATGTGTTCAAATAAACAAATAAATTTACTAGCAGTAAACAGACATTTGGCATTCTCAAACCTAAATTTTGAGATTATTTATTCCATATTGAGAAATAATTTCAACCTACTAATTTTATTATCATCTATTCATTCGTTCAAAACGCTAATAACTCTCAATTCCTACTTCAATATTGTGAAAAAGTTCACTTCCATCCTTATTTTTCCTATTTCATTAATTTAGGCAAAAACACCAATTTTATCTGATGAAGATTTATGGTGTTGACTCAGTATGAAACTAAACAAAATACATTAAGTTTATCAAATATATACGAACAAAAAATGTCTTAAAAATTTAAACTGAGTATTTTTCATTCATATAAATCATTATAAAAAGGTCTTGAAATCCCATAGATAGTGTTTACACTGAATAATTTACTGTAACGAAATTCCAGCCTAAATCATAATAGCATTCACTCATCGTGGTTTGGTATATAATCTCAGACGAACAGAGAAGCTCCGATTTTGAATGCTAGGGTTTTCATTGATACCACGTTTCTTCAAGTAATCGTTTTCTGTAACATCAGGTGATGGTTTGGATGTCTGCAGTTTATACTGGAAAGGCTCAAACGACTGTGTACCAGAGACTTAGTGTACAATCTTTTGTACCTAATAAGATGATTACCGATCCTCTAGCTGCTGTTACTAGATGTGTCAGTGGATCGGGTTTTTAGGATTCTTCAGTTCGAAATTATATCAAATTGAAACCAGTGGCAATCTCTGTGCGTCGGCAATTCGTATTTTGAACCAAAAACTGTAAGAAGAAGCCTTTACTCTATTTAAAGTGTGAATTTCCAGCCATACGAAAACTTGTGAAAGCAACAGAAGGCGAACACAGATGCTAAGATTTCCTTTCCTATTTGACTATATTTTTTCGCTATCGGCGTTATTGTTAGGGAAGTATGAACAGTGGCTTTTCCTTTTCTATTCTTTAATGAAGGTAACATGAATGCGTCAACACCACAACTTGAAGTATCGGCCGCTACAATGGTTAACAACGTGGGATTGCAATGTTCCAGTAACATTTCGGAGCTCATTAACGATTTGAGTTTACAAATTGTTGATTCATATTCATTAAAATAATCAGCCTACACCAAATGATAACCACTTGTGATGACAACAAAGTACTAGTTTTACTGTAAGTGAGATCATAATCATGTGATGATAAATTGAACTTGACTGATGATTTATTTGGAATCCGCTAGTTGAATTATCTATTTGGCGTAAGAGGTTGAAGACTAAAATGAAACCCAGAGTTTACAAGAAGAATCATTTTATACACTTCGTATATATTTCATAATTCACAGTAAGAATTATCACAGAAAAATATATGAACATCGATATTTACCCACAAACTGATGACCTTCTGGATCCACAACTTATATTCAATCATCGTATACGTGTTAAAGTCAAGCTTTACTTGCAGTTAAAATTAACAGCTTTAAAAATTAATGTCTTGAACTGTTTTTTTTTCTTACAAAATTTAGGTTTGTTGTTGTCTGTCAAACTACAGTTACATATTGTAAACTTACATCCAACAATTCTTGCAGATGGGAGCATAATTCGTCATAGAACTAAACGATGGGCCTTTTATGAAATACATAAATGTGGTCGTATTAAAGGATATAGTTGTTTAGAACATCGTCATTGTTATGAACGTTATCTGCGTCGTGATATGGTTTGTTTTGAAGTTTATCCATGCTTAAGTTCATGTATATTTATTGCTCAGGTAAGAGCTAATAATTCGGTTAATTAGTTATACTGTTTATACGCTTTTTGAATGTTTACTTTAATGTTACTAACATAGAACAGATAAAACATTAATGTCCAACAACCTGATGATTATCATCTTGATGCTTATCAGTGCAAATGAAAATATCATACCAGAAACATGTTAATGGTCAAATTGTTAGGCGCTAGTCAGATCACCTGAAGGTTTTAGGTTCAATCGTGGTAGAATCGTTGGTGTGCACTTCTGAAGAGTCTCATTCTAGGATGAAGCATCTGTCCAGTGCCTCTTAGTTTCCAGTCATTATCTAAAACATGTTAGTCCGTGATGCAAACTATGAAGAATTTCAAAGAACAGAACACATTATGTAAGAAGATGTCATTTGCACCAGACGTTTCATTGGCATATTAAATAATAATCTCTTCATCAATTTACTCCATCAAGAAGATGCTTGAGAAAAAATAGATTTACAATGAATACGTTATTAAATTCTAGATATTGCTTGTTGGACTACTGTATCATATTATCAATGTATGTTATCAATATCTATTCTGAACTACTATCATGTTGTAAGCTCATTATTAAAGTTTAATCCAGATCTTAGTATTGACTAGATCTTGTTCAATACAGCATAAGTTGATTCAGATAATATAATGCTAAAAATTTGTTATTACATAAGATTTATTATAGTAAAACCTAAGCCATTCACTACTGGATCACTAGATTAATTATGACTAGCAGTGAAATCAAGAATGCGCTATATTGAGGCAATCCCTTACAGGATCTACATTTATCAATTATGGCTAAGTAAAACTCTGTACTGAGTATCAACGACGGGATAATTTAAACTCTCTATAAGTAATAACATGACGGAATGAGTTACAATATAATTTCCAACACATTTGTTTATTTAACCTTAATTTGAATTTTTGTTATTGTTTAATAAAATTCATTATTATCAAGTAGTATAAAACATATTCCTTGAAAAAAAGACACTAACTATTGTTCTTTCATATTTGAACTCGGAGAGACTCTAATTTATGGGCGACCTTTGAACGAATCTTAAGCGACCTTGAGAAATATTAGCCAATCAGCAACCAGTCGGTATAGAGTAAAAATATGTTATACAAACCCAATGAAATAAAGTGGATACACTTCTTATACGTGGTTCAAAAACTTTTCAAGGTTAGAAAGAGGTTCAGAGGTCCTAAAATCTTAGGGCATGCAGTAGAGAAAACCATCCATACGGCTACAAAATATTCGGCCTCTGGAGTCATGATAAAGTTTCAAATATTCTTTCAGCCTCGACCACATAGCTTCAATATTGTTTATGTGCACACTGGTTGATGAGTGCACCAAATGCTACTTGTGGATAACGACACGATGCACAGAACCAAGCCTATGTAGGAGTCCGTACGCTCTCCAAACATCCTTATATATTGTAGTACCTGGCTGCAGCCAGTGTTACTGGTGCTTTTATTATCCATTTCGCAATAATTGTCGTTATTTGCCTTAGGAAGTATGTATGGGGTTTTCATCACGAACTGATATCAGCTATAATGCCAGAAATTTATTTAGCCAAATGGATGAAAGGCTTTCGCGTTAAAATCCGAGATCTGTTATCTTATACCTGATTAATTCGTCCACAAATTATAGTCTCGCCGTTTTATTTGTTATAGCCATTTTGTACAAAATTCCCCGTGAACCGTTCGTACGTTAGCATTAAGCACTGAAGTTGGCGCCCTAACCTTGAAATCTCTAAAACGCCTCTGATTGACTCGCCCATAAATTAGAGTCTCACCTTGAACTCTTTTTAAAAAACATATCGATCTTTTTTTGTTTTACAGCTTCACGATGCTGAAAAATTAAATGAACAAATTAAAAAATTATTATTAGACGGTATACCAGTCAATAATCATAACGATCCGATTAATTATGTACGAGAACAAACGGCAAAATTATTGAAGGAATTAAATTTAACTCTACCATTGCATAATCAACCAAAAGTCTCAGTGCTATCATCACCATCACCACCATCATCATCATCATCAGCAGCAGCAACAGCAGCATGATCATTTTCGGAATCGTCTAATATGAATTAACCCAGGAGTTTCACTACATTACAGGTCGAAAAATTATAATGATAATTTAGAGAAGAAAACAAGATCAAATTATTATATCTTTTCTGTTTTGTACATGTTTTGTATTTCTTTTCAGAAATTCTATTTGTATTTAAGTTTTCCTGTTTATTTGTATATTTTCATGCCTTGAATGAAAACTTTCCTTTTTCTAAATTCATTGAATGAAATAAGTGCATTTGAGAAATGGTCATTCTCACCCATGGTACAAATAATAATATACCTCCATAAATAATTCCAATACTACTACTACTACTACTACTACTACTACTACTACCTAAACTCATGTTACTATCAATACTACTGACATTACATATAAAATAACAAATATTACAGGGAAATCAAACAACCAGGAAAGATTAAGATATAAGAAAAAAGTAGAGACAAGACAATCTGTGATATGCATTATACATATGTACATACTTATTTGTTTGTTTATTTTAAAGATATAAATGTAATTTTTTATTATTATTTCTCATGAATATACTACTTATTTGTAAAAACTAAATTCAGAAAATAAAATTTGTACACTAGTCTATTAATTATTATTTTAAGTTAAAGGTTTTGATGTTAATAGTGCGATGGATGAATAAGCTCCTTGATTCATTTCAATGAACAAAAAAGAAAATCTCATAGTTTTAAATGGTGAGCGTTTAACAAGTTTAGATCAATACCTATCAATTACACGATTATATAACAGTCTAGATTGTGAAAGCTTTCATAAGAGCGATATCATTTGTCAATCATTTGAATGAAAAAAACAGACTATTATCTGTGTGGTTCAATTATCATAAGATAACTATCACATTATGAATTAGGTGAGACTATAATTTATAAGATGGTGGTCGGAGGTAGTAGACAAGAAACCCTGGACCCTGGAACGTGAAGCTGGGCCACACGAGATCAAATACGCCAGGGAGCACCAGTTCCCTCAAGATTACAAGTACACCTTGCTGACGAATGCCAAGTAGCACGAAACCCGGGTTCAGGGTTTCCTGTCGACTACCTCCAACCACCATCTAATCTTAATATATAGTGCCAGCAATGTCGAGTCACCTAGACTGGTGTCCACATTGCAACATGGTCGATAGCGTTCGATCTGCACTAAATAAGAACTTGACACACATGACATTGATCACCACCAAGTGATCGATCAATTGTGACTATAATTTATGGACCACCTTTGAGCGAAGCTGAAGTGAACGTTAATATAACCAACTACTAACTAAGACTAAATGAGCATTATAAAGCAGTGTTAGGAATTAGAATTAACATTTATAGTTGACGATTAGGGTCTTTCATCACGAACTAACATCGGGCTAAAATGCAAAAACGCTATTTAGCCAAATAGATGAATGAATTGTATGCCAAAATCCAAGATCTATTATCTTATTTCTGATTGGTTTATTCATAAATCATAATCTCGCTATGATTCGGATTTAAGTGTAATTAATTCAACTTCTTTGTTGGTCGTCTCTTTTCATTTCATTACAGTTAGTATAATATAAATAAATTTTGTCTCATTATTATAAAAACCAAACGAGTTTATCTTATGTTCACTGTAATAGTCAAAACCTTAATTACTAAAAGACAATTAGATAAATTGTTCAATGATTCTATTAAGTGGAAATATAAGTGAATGAATCATATTCACATAGGAATTATATACAAAAACCTTTTTCTTATAAAAAAAAGAAACGTAGATATATTGTGATATGTATGCAAAAGTGAATGATATTTTGGATACACCATAGAATGTTTATAATAGGGAAACAAGATGTTTATTTAGTTCATATATCTTAATGAAAAATATTATTTACTATTATCTTGTAATAAGTCAAGGTTGTCTGGTTATTATATTCGGATACTGATGTCCTATTTTCAGTTAAGTACCGATAATTTGATTTCACTATTCAAATTAAAGTGACTTTAAATTAGACAAATAATAAATATGTGAGAATAGCTGCAGACTATTAGAGTTATCAGGAGAACAGAACAGCTGTTTAGCTATAATTTAGGCCTACTTGACCGTACATATCTGTGACACCATATGGGGATGAACATAGAACTTTTATCTCTTATGCTGATCACGCAACCTTCAGATTATTGAGTCGTAAGTTAGGAATCAATCATGTCAAGAGTGAGATAGGCACGGATCATGGTTATTGGATAATATTTACTCTATATAACTAAATTACTGAAGTTGAAGATATCAGTTATTGTGTGCAGATTTTTCGTTCTAAAGATAAAGTACTCGCTGCAAGAAATGAAAGTACTGTGTTCTATAATGTATGCGGTGCTTTGGACACTTAATTTGTGGGGGCTTTTGAACAAAACAAAATGCTTCTTCAATAGTCTCTTAGTTTTTGGGACTTCTAATCGATTTTTATTTTATTGTCATGACTATTTCAAAAATGAATTATTTTTCAGTGCTCAAAATAGATTGTCTTGTTTTCTACTTCACTTATTAGTAACATGTTATATTCATATAGAATGAAATATGTTGAGCTGCACTTTTAGTAAATGATTAGTTTCTAGTGTGTCTACCTAATATCAGATTAACTTCGAACTATATGAATACATCTATGTGACAAATTTAGCATTCAGTCAAACAAGTAAATTTTCTTTGGTGTAGTAAAATCAGATATTGTTCTTTGGGTATATTAAGATATTTTACCAGTGGGATTTACATCTTATCCTTGGGGTAATCTTTATAACTCATTATTAGTAAGGTTTTAAATTACCTCATTGTTGCTCAAGACTAAAATTTGATTAGTCATTTTTGTCATATGTGGATTACATTGATATAGCATTTTACCGCGAATTTTACCGTTCAGAAAGATAAACAGGTTTCTGGTTGGTGATTTTACCACCTGATACGATCCTACGCTAGACAAAATACGCTAGATAATTAGATGGATAAGACCAAACACTGGACTGCGTACTAGATCAATGGATCATGATGAATCACGACACTTAATCAAATGATGAGCTATCATAAAAATATACGATAACCGATCAAGAACCTAATATACAATATAATCACAATATACTATGATAAATACAAAACTTTAAAGAGGTATATATATATACATATATATGTATATATATATATATAACATATAAATCTCCGTCTGTGCTCAATATTGATCATTACTCATTCCTACCGGATATATTCCGACGTTTTAGGAACGGATAAATGGCATCCAAAATTTTTTACGAATTCTTTAGACAGATATTGACAATTTATAGACTCATTTAACAGTGATTGTCTCTGAAGATAGTAAAAAGATTTTCGAGACAAAGTAAAACTCAGTTTCACGAATAATGATCCTTGTAATGCACTGTATGAGAAGAACCTAAGTGATCGCTTTAATCGTCCCAAAAGTATGTAAGAGTAATCACGAATGTGAGTCTCTAACTATTGACGATTGATTCCTTCTGAAATTTCAATGATCACAACGAGAACAGACACCAATGTTTGAGGAAAATTTTGGATCTCCCAGGAAACCAAGATGTTACTTACGGAAGTTCATTTGAGAAATTTAAAAAATGACTCATGCTTTGTAATTTATTTAATTTCACATCGGAAATGACTCATGACATGTTTTTGATTAGCTAAAGCTAGACAGATTTCTCTCAGGAGCCTGCAGCGATAAATAAATTCCCACAATAAATAGTTCTTTCAGCCTTCGACATTGAAACTGACCTCGTTATTTTTACTGGATACAACTTAGTTGAATGCGTTTGGTCAGTTATCCGTAACAGATAACGACTGTGTACGCTATGCAACACATACCTCCGGACAACTAATCAGCTTAGTTCACACATCTTTGGACTACTTCGGCTACTTTACGAATATATGTATTCAAACTTGCTTATCCCTGACTTTTGGTTTAGTTAGGTTACGGCTAACGGCGTTGTTTAGCCCTAAATATCAATCACATCTTTAGTGGTGAGCCTGATTTGATTTAGTATACCAAGCAATAAACTGTTGGTCTACTCCGTGTAAAATAATATACATACCTTTACATAGTGTGATTTCATTTTCATTTTCTCAGAACGTTTTCAGATATTTATAAACTTTATTCTCACTATGCCGTAATAAATACCTAAACTTTTAAAAACTTAAGACTCCCACCTTGCAGCACATACCATTCTGACCCAACAATATAGAAACCTTATTATAATATCTAGAACTTGAAGTACAGAGTGGTTGACCAACTTGTGCAGTTCCTCACAGTAGTGAAGGCATTGCGACGCTCCTTCTACAGGTACGCTACAATTAGTAGGCTTACTAGTGGTGCTTTGAACCCTAAGACACCTGAAAAATGTCATCCATAAACGAGGAGATCCAATAAAGGTTAGACTAGTTATTCCACAATATCGAATACCAACACAGTAGAAACGTTGTTATGTATGCGAGAGGTCATCGGCCAGCAAACTTAAACGAAAGAGTTTTTAGACAACTCTTTTCTTCTAAGCTTTCCCATCAACTCGTCAACCCAAGCAGACGGAAGTTTTTAGGCGGGGATAATAAAATACCAGTTTACAGAGTTTTATTTTCTGGTTTTAGGTTGTACCCAGTCACAATTATTGATGTAATTGATCAGTACTTCAAACCCGTAACATCTTTAGTCACTTCACCTATCCCCGAATTTCTTCCATCCAGTTAAACCTACTCAAAATGAGAAATGATCACATTTGGATAATGATAAGGTCTGTTAAGATTTAGGAATTTTTCACTATTAGTTAGCTGCTCATGTAACGCAACAATAAAGTTTAAATAATTATTACAAAACACTAAGTGACTAAATGTTTTCCTTACTCATACCCTACTTGACATCTGTGTCTGATTGGATTTAACCCGGCCATATTGTTGAAATAATAATGAACAGACAAGTACCAGAAAGTAACTGTTTTCAAAGCTCTGTGTCATGTAGATAAGAATTAAAATTTGATTGTTAAACTATTGGAAATAGGAAAGTTACACAACATATCAAAAACCATTAAAGGATAAATATTTTTGGTTTTGTGTAGTATACTACCCATAATTAACATAAACTATGTGATTGATGTTTAGCATAAATACACGTCAATCTAAGCCACCACATCACGTCGACACAGTGAGAAGAATACGTAGCAAAGAATCTCTGTAATACTAGTATCTGTGATAGCTAAATAATAAACAAAGAGGTGATTACTGAAGAAGGAATGAATTCAAATGTCAAAAAGTAAGAAATAATTTTAAAGCTCAGTATATGAAAAAAGATAATGAATAGACGTGCGTCACCAACCATTCATCATGAATATCGCTTATGTACCAACCAGATGATCTGCTGACACCAACAATAAATGAGTTACTAGTATGGGCTGTGTAGATTATTGGATTTCGTTAAAATCACGAACGGATCTAAGTTAGACCACCATTGAAAACCTGGAGGCACTAGGCAGCCATTTTATCCTAGTGAGGCACTCTTTAGCAGTGTGTATCGACGACCACACGACCGGAGATTGAACACAGGATCTCTTATCATGCGCACAAACGCTAGAACTCTATACAACTGAGCCGTCATTCAATGATGTACAGGTTCAATTTCAATCAGTTCACACTATCTTGCGACCACCTTTCACTGTTTTCTGTGAGTACCTTTCTCACATCCGACAAGGTTAAACTCCACTGGTCAAGGCAACACAATAGAACTATGGAAATGTTCTGAGAGCTAATCACTAATGACAACATGATAATTATCAGTGTGGGTTTTGAGGATTATTAGATTTCATTGAAATCACGAACCTATTTATAAGGGTTTTTGAAATGATGGCTTGCCTTGGTTTTGTTACTCCTATATGTTTTTCAGCTTAGTCCTACACCAGACAGCCATGAATTGGTAATCAGTGTTTCGTCTTTTATATTATATCCCCTTTCTACTTTAGTCGATAAAACCTCAGTCTTCTACAGGCTAATTTTGCTGATACACAAGCACAAATATACTATACCCGTTAGTGAACGCCTAAATTAACACTATTACAAATAGAGTAGTCAATCTTACATAATTTGTTTTTATTCTTAATTATAATCGGTATTTATAGGTCAGTTTATGTTTCATACCATGTGATTACGTATCTCTCACAACTTCCACAAATAGACTAGACAAATAGGATCATGTAAAGTAGTGGTTTACACGATTCATTTCCTCATGTTATATTTACATTTTGTAATAGTCTAAAATTATCTTTACATTTTATTGACGTCTGTAATTTTTTTAACTTCATATTTCAATGAAATAAATTCTTGTAAATACTTGTTTCAGTAATCAATAATAGTGAACCGTGTTTATAGAAGTGATGAACTGTGAACAGCACTGGAATCCAGAACGTACATTTCAATCTTGCTATAAGATTGGAACATTGATCATTACAATATAATTCGAATATGATTTAATGATACACATGTGATTTTATTATCATAATTAAAATTAAGTGGGTTACAAAGTAACTGGAATAACTACAGTGTTCTGACTGATTATTTGTCCACAAGATCCAGTCACAATTATCAAGTTAGTTTTCAACAGTCAGAACCAATACTATATGAGTTGATTATCAAAGATGTCACTGATACACAAGATAAAATGATATCAGATAACAAATTTGATTAGTCGACAATGAAAAATTTCAAAAACTAACCACTTACCCCTCTCTTATAAAATAAATGGTTCGTGGTCAGCAGTGAAACTCAGGGAGCTTGTATCATCTTATTTGGAACTTGTCAGCTAAATGTACTTCCGCCTCAGTTTTAATGTTCAAATTAAATATTTACTTATTTAGTTGAAGTAAAACTGTGGTCAATGCTACTTATGTTTATCCACATAAGTAGTACGTATCACCGATCAAAAGAGAAATGTTTGTCAAAAGAAGGTTTAGAAGATTTCAATGAAGAAAACAGAAAGGGAAATAGGAGGGAATCGAGAATTAGAAGAATCATGAAGGATGTAAAAGGAAATTGATGGTAGATTTGCAGATGAAGTATTTAATGTATGGTTTTTACATTTTACTAAAGAACTCTGTAATTTTGCAATGAATAATAAATTCATTACCCTCATCTGAGTGTCCTTTCAAGACAAAACCACTAAAATAAAATATAAGTTTGTTCTTGGAAAGAAAAAAACTTCTGAAGTTAGTATATCAACTCATATATTCGTACATCGTACCTATATAAAATGCATTGGTAAGGACTGTTATGGTTTTGATGGATAACACAGTTTCAGGTGACTTGACTTAATGATTGTCAATATTGTTTATTGTATGGATCATGAGACTAATATGATGTCTTGTTCTATTGAAAAGTATGTAATATGAATTTTATTACATCAAAAACATATAATTATTATTCAGATAATTGTATTAGGGTTAGCAAAAGAATCCTACTGTCAATTATCAGGTTGATTAGTATTTAACTATGACTTATTAAGAAGTTTGAGTAATACATTGCCTATCTTAAGTTTATTCATGATGTTTCCTGGTCTTGGGGAAGATTGGAAGAAAGGTCAATAAAATATTAGGTAGCATTACTTTTGGTTGGATAAGTTACATGTTATTGGTTCAACGAGATTATCTATTTCGGTAATATTTGGATTTTAATTATCTAATCTTGAAAACCAGTAAATTTAAAGTACAGTTAGCATTTAGTTATTAAATTGTAGTTAATATAAAGAAACTTGTCTACTTCACATTTATTTGAGTTTTTATAATACTGAATTATTTTCAAAGTCCACACGTTCTCATTAGTTTATACACTTAACATTTGTGTGTTTAAATATAATGATCTTTACTCATATTAAGTAATTCGTAAATATGGAGTCAGTAATGGTATTTTCAAGTATGACACCTGGTCAAATGATTTTGAACCTTACAAAGGAGTATCCATTCTACAGGGACTACTAATAAACCCCAATAATGAGTGTTAAATAAAAAATAATCTAAGTTCAGTATTTTTTGAGAATTACCGCTAACTACATAATATCATAATTGTTGGTATTTACTACTGGAAGATCATCAAATGTATGCGATGTCAAGTCTCTTCGGTCAGTGGGTACAGTGAAATTAAGTAGGTAGATTTCATTCTTAACCAAAATATATACCACTGTCTAATACTACTCGACAGTTCATCAGTATATGTCACATGTACATGAAAGCACAGTTTTAAGAAACAGTTTATGAACATTATTATCACATAACTTGATATCACCGTCTCATCATCATCAGAGAATTTTGTGGAGATTTTAGTGATTTAATAGTCGAATTCATGAGCCAATTAAAGCTAGACCACCATGAAAAACCTGTAAGCACTGGACAGCCATTTCGTCCTAGTATAGAACTCCTCAGCAGTGCACATCCACGACCCCGCTCACAGGTTACATTATCATCTCGTAAAATGATATTATTTTCAGAAAAAAATGTTTCATAGTTCTTCATCTAAACATTTGTTTAATTAAAATGTTTTCACTGTTACATAACTTTTATTTCTCTGTTGCTCAACTGAAAACTGATGAGATTTCGGCCTCATACAATCCAGTTTTTAAATATATACCTTCAAATTGTGTGTAGCAATTGGTTGGTATTATTTAACAAGAGAGTTACTAAAAACCCAGCATTTATCCAATATAAAATCTGTGTATTAACTGTTATAAGTATTTATCATTATACCTATATAACAGTGATCTGATACGCAACACATACAAGTGTGCTTGTAATTTAATGCGTGAATTATATGAAAATTAAAAGTGATTTGGAGAAAGCGATATAAGAAAAATATAATTTTATTAACAGATAGATATATGTATATATATACATAAGTGTAAGACAAATGCAAAACATTGTATAAGCATCTAAAAAACACACACTGAAATCAAATACAGGGTGTATTATGACACATGGAAAGATTTTCTGAAGTTCACAAGTAAAGATAAACGATTTGTAATTATACAAATTGTTTATTAGTTAGGAATTATTAAATTGGTCAATTACAGCTTCAATAAATGATTCCGCTCTTATTAATTGTGCCATATTTCATCCACTGGTTGTATACAAAATAAAAACTAACTTATTCTGTTATATTCCACCTAATGGTAGTGACATATTTAAATCTTTGGCTAATTTCTTTGTTTTTTCACGTACAAAATTTACTGCATCATCATGATTATTGACTGGTATTCCCTTGATCATTAAGCGTTCAACTTGTTGTGCAAATTTCTCATAGTCATATAACTATGTTTAAAAAAGAAAGTGAGTAGTCATAATTAAAAATATGAAAATTTTGTGACTATTTACCATCTGCTACTGAATGTCGGTTTAAGTAGTAAACGTTTACATATAGTTCATTGATATTTTACTTTATAGATTATTTTCAACCCATTTTTTGATTACGTAATTCTTTTTTTTTAAAAACAGAACTAGATTCACTTGGTATTGTTTGGCTTGTATCTTCCCATTGAAGCGAATTGTACTGGGTTCGAGTCCCAGAGTGAACATCAACTATGAGATGTAGGTACATCCAGCTGGCGAGTCTCAAATAGGACGAAACGTGCGTCCTGGATTCCACTGCTAGACACTATCCATCACTGCTTACAAAAAACAACTAATTTTTGTAAAAATTCATCTTATACATCAAATGGAATATTATGTTTCTTTGTGTTCAATTAACTCAATTCAATGATTTTCAATTTGAATAGACAAATGATATTTATATTTCATCCATTGTTTACCGAAGGACTGGGGAAGAAATTCATGCCATTTTACTCACTGTAACAATTGAAGGAACATAGATTGAATTTTATTTTTAAACTAATGAATTTTGTATACGGTACCTTTGATTTCATTTAGAAAATATTTCAATGGGAGTTTTGAGATTAACATGAGATTGATGTCATCGATTAAATAACATTGAAAAGTATGACGTGTTTCCCTGGAGAGATAAAAACTGTTGAATTATGCATGAAAGATGATAGTTTTAAGTTACTATAGATAGATTTCTTAAAATCATCTGAATAAATTATAATATTAATTATAGTGAATGAAGTTTAAAACGTTTATAAGTAATATGCACTTGCAGGCTTTCCAAACTATATTAAAAATGATTTGTACATTATTAACTAATTGCATAGTCTAAATCGGTATTCCTTTCTTTCTGTGAACATACATGCATTGTTTATGCATGAGACTGAGTTTGACCAATCTCTCGTTCTTAAAGCTAATGCCTCAATGTCCCCTGGATTTTTAAATTGATTTTATTCTCATAATATCATGGATCAAAACCCAAAGCGCACGTTTCGTGCTTTTGTGAAACTCATCAGCACACTAACGTTAGTGTTTGTATTGAAAAAAAGGGCTAAAATTCATTGCTTCAGACCACAAAAACGTTGTAAAATGGATGTCATGTTAGTTGTTAGCATGTTATAAAAGAACAATAATTATCATTAGTTGTAAGGATATGGGTTTTAGCATTATTATTATTAGCGGCTGAAATCACGAACTGATCAAAATTGGTCCTAATATTTAAAAGCTATAGGCTCTTAAAACTTATGATAAATAACAGATTAGTTGAGCAAATATAGGTTCATATAGGTTCAATGGTTCAGTAGGTGAAACTTTAACGTTATAAGTTCGAAAGATTGAATACAATTATCACTATGAACTACAACTCTATATTACTGGTATATTCAATAGATAATTCCAAAACAAGGTAAAATGCATACCTCAGATACTAATACTATCTCAAACCCCAAAAAACAAAAATAAAAAAAATTAATGTCAATGAAATTAACTATAGTGAATTCTTACCTGAGCAATGAATATACATGAACTTAAACATGGATAAACTTCAAAACAAACCATATCATGACGTAGATAACGTTCATAACAATGACGATGTTCTAAACAACTATATCCTTTAATACGACCACATTTATGTATTTCATAATAGGCCCAACGTTTAGGTCGATAAAGTTGTATTGTAATATTATTTGTATGGATTGGCAACAAATCAACAATAAATAATTCTAAATGAATAATTAAGAAAACACCTAAAACAGATAAAAAGGTTAGTGAAATTAAAGCATAGGAAGATTTATTCTATTGGAAAAATGAAAACATTTGAATCATTAAATCAAATAGTTCATAATAGACAATATTATCGTAGATAAGTTTGTTTTAAACTATGATCATTGTTGATTACGAATGTAGTCAAGAATTTTCGTTAAGAGTATAGTTCAAGGACAAACTTACAATAACCGCGATGAAGTTCGGCTCGTTGTTAATCACTCAGAAGACAGGTATTGTAAGTAAATAGTTTTTAAAAGAATATTAATATATTGGGTGCACAGATCCTATATGATTAACGAATCTATTGAAGTATTCTACAGATTTCTTTGTCTGTAAATTGAAAGACATATATATATATATATATATATATATATATATATATATATATATATATAATCTCATCCAAGTGGATATAGAATATCAGTCCTCTCGAACCGTAATAAGGACATAGAAAGATTTAAAGGAGTTCTCATATAATCTTTGCTAGGTGGTTTAAAGTTAGGGTTAAGCATTTAGGCTAAGCGATTCATGGCTAGGGTTAGAGTTGAAATTTAGGGTTTTGGGATAGGCTTGATTCGAGTGTTACATATAATTCATTCAGAAGGAATCGAGCCCATGATGCCATTAATATTATTTTAATAACTTTATAATGAATTAAAATATTTTTTTCTTTATAATTTCGAACACTATGGACACTATACAAAGTTATTTCTGCTGCTTGTTTACCATAATATACGACGAAAGTGATTCATTTTGAAATTTGCGTGAAATTTCAACAGTTATTTATTCGATTTTTACTGGCTCATTCCTATACTACAAGTTAACTATATTTTCAAATTAAATTAATAGTTTGTTAAACAATAATGTTTAGAGTGGCTTCGATGAAAGAACCACTTAACCTACGACTGAAAGAACTCAAACTTGGAACTCACACCCATGATAGCAAAGAGAAATAGCATACATTTTGTTTATGCTAGAATATAGATTTCTTTAAGGTGACAGAAACTGAAATGAGTCTTGCGAACTACTAAATTACCTGTATTATCCTGCCACTTCATCATACGTTTATTGTAAACATATCTGTATTACTCAATAAGTGAATTAAACACTTTAAATGTGTAATATTGTAAGTAAGAGGGATCAAACACAACCCATTTTGGGTTCGTGGAGAGTGATTAGCTCTAAGCACCACCAGCCCAGAGTCCATCAATGAAGTGATTATTGGTTAATATTATAATAGTCGCAAAATCTTGAAATAATCACGTAATACAACAATATTTAACGATAACAACATAAAAGCGTTTCTTTGTTCCAGGGTTCCGTAAGCTTTAAATAAAGATAATATATGCGAGAAAGTATACGAATTTCAACAATACCAGTGCTCATATACATAGTGAATCGAATTAATACCTATCTACAATAAAATATTTTTTACTAACTAGGCAAAATTAAAGAAACTTATTGTTTGATAATATCCAGAACCCTGATATACCATAGACTGAACAATAACAATACATAATACTATTAGCAAGGCTTTTGATTTATCTGGTTTTTGATATCCAGAATAATTTAAAACCATTTCGAATGACGATATAAATAAGACCATTGCTAGGAAAGTTGGAAGGAATCTGAACTCAATAACTCAGTGAATAACATGGTAGTGTTAGAAGCGAAAGGTACGAAGTTCGAGTTTTAAAGTTCAACAGTAACACTAAAATTCAGGTACATTAAACTGACATGTCCCAAATAGTAAGAAGTGACAGTAATGTATTCCATTGTTAGCCAAATTCCATCTATTCTAAATTATTGATATATGTTAATAACACCAAAGAAACGAATGGATCTGAAAAGTTGTAGACTTTTTCCATTTAGTAAAATATTACAAGATATCATCACTGAACTAACAAATCAATAAGATGTAAGTTCAACATTGAATTTGTTTTTTTCTTGAATACTGAACAGAAATAACTAATAACTACTTAATTCTGTAGTGAACAGAACACGGGTTGGGATAATCGAATTATATTTAAAACAAAATTATAGAGTTACTTGGTAAAATAGAAAATTCATACTATAATACCCAATTTGCAAAATGGTCAATAATTGTCTAGAACTTCATTGTTCTTGCATTTCCATAATTGCTTTCTATTCCCGCTCTTTCTTTCTTGCTCTTCCTTTATCCTCTGCTGCCAGACATTACATTCCTGACTCGTATTATATACTACTTATGTCAATATAAGTAGCACGCACCACACTTCCTTTACCACACAAAGTACAAAGTATTAAGTTCAAGTTGTAGAAATAACGATAAACCTATTTCTGTTATATTTCCAAAGTAGATACATTTTTGAGAATTGTATATTCTATTGAGAAGAATTCAATATCTGAATAAATATTATCATCTTGTGTGTGTGTGTGTGTGTGAAATTACTTAAATTGAAAATCATGAATCATTACAAAATAACTTGAAGTGTAAATATAAGGACATTAATAAAAATAGCGAATTACATTAACATCAACTTTATTCATGAACACAGTCATTAAACTATTAAAAAAAAGGCTAAAACCGTACTACTAAACTTATTGCTTTTACGCAACCTTAACATTTAGACCCAAAAACATTATTTATCATCTTAGTTTTAATAGTTGTATCATTGATAATTCTTAGAGGATTATTGGAAATCAAATAATCACAAAATAACTTTAGAGATAATTTACAACCATTGATCTGTACGTCAGACTCGTGGTTATATTCATTTAGTCTTTAGTTCTGATTTGATCCTATCAATCTAGCCAAATTGAAATAACTAATCTAAGTAAATGAACATTGTATGCACTGTCAAGTGGTTGGAGAAAGTAAACAGGAAATCCTGAACCTATTTTTTATGTTATTTGCGATTTGTCAGAAAAGTGTACTTGTAATCTTCAGGGAACTGGTGCACTCGTTGATACTGCTTTCGTGTAAACTGGTTTCTTAATCCAGGACATTACTATTGAGCTCTTCGGTCCTCAAATAACCACTTATAAGAATGACATATAAACAACTAATTGACCAATGAGTAGTGACCAATGTCATGAAATACCTAAACAGATCATTCATAGAATTTTAGATTGTTAGACTGAGTAACCAGTGCTTGAATCCAGTGATTTGTACGAGGTTTTAAATGTTCCTTGATGAAAAGTGTTAAATTACAAGACACATGGTTCTAAAGTGTTGTCCTGACTATTTATTCATGGTAACTTACAACACTATTCACCAATAGCACTATACCTGAAAAAATCACCGCATTATTAAACACTGATGTACATACGATCATTATAGAACTAAGCGACCATGTTAACTGAAAATAAATCATATCACTGACGATGCTTTTTAGTTCTTCGTAGTCCGAGAAAGCCATTATGAATAACTATTTATAGTTATCAGTAATCAATAAGTTAAATTGAATGAAAAGCTCAAAATTGTCTATGAATTATGCTTTTTAGAGAAAAATAAATCCGACTTTATTTTACAGATGGGGTGGAGCTGAAGGGTTAAAATTATTACTTATTCCATATTCTAATCTGGTTTTTACATCTATTGTATGCTTTTAACTAATTAAGAACATTAAGACAAACCGTATCATATTTCATTGAATTTTTTTTGCTTTTTCGTAAGTTTTAGTTTATGAATCTTGTAAATATTACTAATAATATTAAGAGTAGTATATTTTAGTTATTCTTCAGCTCTTAAACTACAATCATAGTATAATTGTCGTTTACCTTCCGTATCAGAAACGCAGTAAACATAAGAAAATAATAAAAAGATGCTAAACAGAAAATAAAAGTACTTTACAGTAATAATACTAATAATAAATATCACACGTTTTAAATTAAATGTAAAATTATCTAAAATTCTTTACAACCATTAAGTACATTTTTTAAATCATTATTATCATCAAAATTCGATAAGTTAACATATATAAACTCACGAGTTGATCTAAGCTAGACCACCTGGAAGCTCCAGTCGGCCATTTCATCCTGGTACGGACTCTTCAGCAGTGCGCATCCACGATCCCACACGTGAAACTGAAACTCAGGACCGGTCTTGCGCACAAGCTCTTAACTTGTAGACCACTGAGCTGGTATTCATGATCTTGCGCAACCGTTTATCTATTGTCTGATGTAGATAACTGCCTCACACCCAATAGACATTGGACTACACTGGCCATGGCTTCTCACTACAACCCAAGAAATCCATCTCAAAGCTAGTCACTAATGAGCATATGATTGTTATCAGTATGGGGATCATGGATACGTACTGATGAGGAGTCGCATGCTAGAAAGAATTGGCCATCCAGTGCTTCCAGGTTGTCAGTGGTTGTCGTGACTTTAAGTCCGGCTAAATATCACGTGATATATTTGCCAACGGAAATATGACTTATTAAAGCTTAGTACTGTGCTAAGCCAAAGACGTTCGACTGGTATGAGCAGCCTAGCATCCTTATTGGTCCTTTGTTCTCGTAGTCCGTTCAGTTGATTCCAGAACGCCAACAGCAGCTCCCATTATGGGAATCATTCATTTCAAACATATTTGGTTTATATCCCAGCATAACAGACCATACCAAACCATAAAATAGGAAATAAGATTTGTAAAATATCTAGTCAAAAAAGGCTGTGAACGTGGGAGATCAATTAATAAACTGAGTATAATTTAAAAATAGTAAGTCAAAATAAAGTTTATAATAAGAGGAATATAGATATACATAATCTAGTTACTGAATAGTTATACAATAAGAATATTATATACAATATTAGTTCATTAATGGTTCTCAGAAGTTACCCGTAATTTAATCTTCACTAGGATATAACAGTAGTGGTCTAGCTTAGATCGGCTCGTGAATTCAACTGTGAAAACATTTTAACCTCCATAAATCCCAATACTGACGTATACAAATGTATATCTATAGATACCCGCTAAAAAACAGCTACAAGTTGAATA